ATTTTAAGAAGCAACACATAAATTTATACATAGCAAATGTCTCTACTATTTTAACTTCAATTTCTCTCACTTATCTACCACAAGTGAGAGACAAACCACAGGGGGTGTCTGTTATTCAACTTAACTTCTGCTTAGTACAATAACCAGGTAGGAATTCTCAGGCCCTGAAAATTGTTTTGTTTAAGAAAGCAACCCTAAGAACATTCTGCAAGCAACTATTCCTGAAACTGACGAAGTCATGGCAGAGAGACCACCATAGAAATGGCAAGCAGGCTTACCTGGGCCTTTGTCTACCACTTATTAAAAGCATGATTTGTATTTTTTAAGTCAGAGATTTAAAAACCATTTTTGTTATAAACTCTAACTCTTTTTCCCAATTCTAGCAAAAACAGCCACGTAGGAGTCTTTCTACTAATATTAGAATTAGTCTTTATATGGACAATTACTACATAACATTTTCTGGAAAGCTAAACAATTTAAACTTTTAAATAAAAGCGTACTAAACCAGTGCTATATTCTCACTATCTTAATGTTGAACTGACTCTGAATCCTGAGTCGTTAAGTCTTCTAACAATCTCAGACATTTTAATTACATTCCTTTCATGGTCTTTAATCTTTTTAATGACCTTTGTGAGACTGAAATTTTTCTTAAAGTCAAAATAGATAAAATATAATTCTAATTGGTTAACAAAGGCAAAATGCATGTGCGCAGTTGAGGACAACTCTGCTGCATCTTTCATAACATTTCTTTAAGCAATGTGAATAAAAAAGTATTTGAGTTTATGCTTTGTTAGTTACTGACCACTTTTAAAAACTAGTCTGATGCCATCTAAAAATATACAAACAAGTACCCTCATAGATATAATGTATTACATCCACAGAAAACAAAGACTTAAAGTTATCATTTACCAGCTTTTGAAAGTTACCCTGTTGGCATGGTTCTCCTTTTTACAGTCCTAGAAAACACTTAGTCCCAAATTTTCATATATGAAGATATGATTCCAAATTGTAGTAAAATGAGACATATACATCTCAATGCTGTTATCACTCATCATTTATTAATTCACTTGGTTTTGTTATGTCAACATTTATGTAACTTAATAACAATTGTTTTTTTCTTTTCAGTATCATAAGCTATTATTTCCTTTTCTTATTTTATTTTGTTTGCCATAACATCCAGAAAAATTTTGAACAGTACTCATAGTAACATGCATCTCTGTCTTATTTCTGAATTTTTGATATTATACATTTTGTATATTTCTTGCTGAAATTTTCATTAAAGAGAGTGTCTATTTGTAGTTTGCAGAGCTCTGTATTTTAAAAATTACCAATAAATGTTAATTTAATTTAAAGAGAGATATACACCTCAATGGAGATTGCTTACCTTGTGAAACTGAGTTTGAATTTTATGAAGACATTTTTGGCTTAACTTATTGTTAAGTCTTAGTTAATTTCAAAATCTTAACCCAAGTTTTAAGACATTTCACACTGAGCTAAAATTTAGATATACTCAGTCAGAAGTTTACACATCTTATTCTGGCTGTACTGCTCAGGACTTCTAGTATTTAAAAAAACCCACCAAGAAAGCACAAAGGCAAAATATCTGTATTCAAATCTCTCTATTTTCTAAAGTCAAGGAGTGGAGGTGGTAGATGAGAAAATCAATTTTCAGCAAACACGTTTTGAGAAATATTTGGAAACAAAACTGTTAGAAGGGACTAAGGACTGTTGGTCAAAATGAGGGGAAACATACCTTAATAAACACAGCAATAGTAGCCAAGGAACTGGAATGGACAGCTAGAGAAGGCGCTTGCTTGTGGTTGGCACTAATCCAGAAAAGGTTAAGAAAAGAAACTACAGAGATTATCTTAACCAAAGTTATTCCACAGAATCTTAAGGACAGCTCCATTAAATCAGAGTGTGCTTTCAGTTGTACCGGTCATGTTGTAAGACGATGTAGCTGCCTTTTTCTACATCGCAGAACTTTTCCATTGGGCTGCAGAGCAGCACAAGCACTTTTATTCCTGAGCAGTTTATAACAGCAGCGCAAGCACGTTACCAGCATTCAGTCCTCTTAAAATCTCTAATCCAAACTTTTTCATTGGCAAATAGGGCAAGAACCTTGAACTCTGTATTGGCTCGCTAAGAAGCCTCACAATGACCTGAAGCCCCAAATGGCTTACATAATTCTAGATGTTGCTGAAACCGTGCTTCCCACCTTAGAATAAAGGTAATTGTAGCGATACAGTACGAAGATAACAGAAACAAGAGCAAGGAAAAGCACACCAAAGTAAAGCAAAACAAGTGAGTACGCCAGAACAAATGTCCAAAAATTTTTCTTCCTCTGATCTCTTCTCACACCAGTCAATCGCTCAAATGACCTGCAGTGGGTCCAAATCACTACAAATGCTGAAGGTGCTTGCTTCACCCCAAAAGGCACTGACTACTAGTCAGTGGCCCATAATGACCTGCAGTAGATGTGAAACGGCCCAAATGGTGAAGGTCCCTCCCTCATCCAAATGGCACTGCTGAACAACCGAAGAGAAAGTGCAAAGTGTGGAGACAACAGATTCCTGGCGTGCACCTTCCAACTGGAAACCAGGCAGAGCTCACCAGCTCCACTTATCTTTGTCCTTTCAGTAGCAAATGACTACCTGTCTAATTTTATCTATTAAATTTTTTCTTACTTTCCTCTCTTTCCACGTACATATCCCTTCCGTTCTCCCCAACTCCGTGTCCCAGATAAACCTCAGAGAGCAGGGCAATGTAGTCTCCAAGGGGTATTTACAATGTGTGAAATAATCAAAGAGAGTTTTAATGTTTATTCTTTAAGTAGGTTTGATTCTGTTGACACTGTAGAAATTCTCTGCTAACAACAGTGACAGGGTCCAACTCAAATAAGTCACACTGCTTCAGTGGGTAGATAATATCTCTGGACAAATAAAACCAAGATCACATCACTAATTAAATGATCCTCACATCAGTGGCAATCTTGCATCACTCTACTTGACCCCAAAACTTTGCACCCAAACTTGAAGGAACAAGAGAAAAGAACGGAACACAGTTCCCAGAAGACTCCAAATCCTCCAAAAGTAGATGCGAGGGGCACTGATCAAAAGGAAAGCAAACATAGCTGAGCTGCATGCCAGGATTGCAGAGAGAGAAGGAAAAGGAACACTTGGCAAGGTCAGAGAAGACGTAACCAAATGTGGATATGGGCAGAACAAGTGAAACATTGTAAGAGCTGACCAAAAACAGGTCAATACATGAATGACAAAGGTAGACTGTGTGAAATGGTGCCAGAAGAAAGCGATGGTGTCCTCACTGGAAATTTGGGAGCCAGCCTCATCCCCTCACCCGGTACTGTATATGAGTGAGGTGGAGTTTGCCTTGGAAATCCCACCACAAGGTACTGTGCCTGAGGGGAGTGCTTCTCATGGCAAGATTTCCAGTGGCTGTAATAGCTGAAGTGTAGGGAAGAGGAGTAGATTACCCTCCATCAAAAAGATCCTCACACAATGAGTGTATTTGTTAGTGAAAGCAAGCAAAATGTGGGGATAAAAAAACCCCAAATTTTTGTTTTGACATTTAAGGCCACTGGACTCCTTTCCAAAAATTTACCATGTAACACCACCATCATTTAATAAAAGAACTTAACGTGACCTGCATGAAGAAAAGGTACAAAGTAACTCATTTATTTTCATTCATATGTCCTAATAATCACAATTTCAAAACTGAAAATCCTAAAGGGTATCATATTAAAGAATACTGTTAATGGTTAGTTCACTTAATCTTAAGTGAAATGTCTTATTTCTGCCATATGTCCACATGGGTGATAGAAACCTCTCTCATGGAAGATTTTGACCTGCAGTCCGACATTGAGGAAATTTTCCTAAAAGCCTTGGGAAATAGTGTCTGCTTTGTTTTGCATATCTTCCAGGAAGGAAGTTAGAGCTGAGCTAAATGTGATGCTCGTTTACTGGTCAGTGACACTCAGGGTCTTCCTATTCCCTACTGCAGTGGTCCCCCAACTGGAGCCTTTTCAGGATCACCTGAGTGATTATTAAGAAGACACGGGCTGCTGGGTGCATGCCCTGGTTGTGGGATCAGGAGCTCGGGGTGGCGGTGAGGATGTGCATGTCTGGAAAGCTGCCATTTGATAACAGGTGAGACGCATCTGATGTAGGGACTACAGTTTCCTCAAGCATGGAGGCCACACTCCTCTCCAGGCCACTGTAACCAGGAGAGCACAGAGCCCAGGGGCTGAGGTAGGAGTTCACACAGGAGAAGGTGATTCCCTGTGTGGTCTGGAGGTGCTGCTCTGCCAGGGGGCTGCTGTGCTTGTCACACTGTTGCCTCCTCTCGATGGCTTTGTGCATGGTGCAAGCTGGTTGCCCTCTACACTCACATTCACAGCAGTGGGAAGACAGTGAAGACAATGTGGATAAATAAGTACATGCTAAATAAGATGGCCCAGAACTTGTGCCCAGGACTTCCTGGTATGTGCTGGAGGGTAATATTCATCATGATGGGCACACACCTAGTGAGCCCACAAGGCTGAGTCAGGAATGTGTGTTGGTAGGTAGTCTCCTCCACAGGGCTGACCAGGTAAGATCATGAGTATGGAGGGGAGTGTATTTCTTATGCTGTAGTACAACTGGGAAGAGAAAATCATAGTCTAGTACAAGTCTCACTTAGAACACATGTCCATGTGAAATATACAATACCTTTACATATAATTTTACTTTAGTTGTTATACTGTATAATTATTTTATCTAAAATCAATAGTCTTGATGCTAAGTACATGTACAAGTGATGTGTTTTAGTCACACATGCATATCCTTCATATTTCTCTGTATTTTCTATTCATTTACAAAATCTAAAATCATATAACACACTCGCTATTTCAACAATATAAAGTAGTTTTTGAGAAGTGAATTTTGTTAATAAAAATCAATATTTCTTTTGCTTTATACACTCTGATTTATTTCGTATGGAATTCACAACTTTGCTAAACATTTTTTGAGCCACACTATTCTCTTCACTGCAGTCTTCACATCTTTGTTTCTTAAAGTGTAGATCAGAGGGTTCAGGCTGGGTGTGACGATCGTGTAGAAAAATGTAAATAACTTGCCTTCCTCTTGGGATGTGGTATTCTGTGGCTTCATGTACATGTAAATGAGTGTTCCATAAAACAGAGTTACTACCATGAGGTGGGAACCACATGTGTTAAGGACCTTTTCCCACCTTGCTGCTGATTTGATCCTCATTACAGCTCGAGCGATGACCCCATATGAGATGAGAATTAGGGACAGAGGTGCCAGAAGAAATACAACTCCAAGGGCAGAGATAACATACTGAATTATTTTGGAATATGCACAAGCCATCTTGATCAATGCTGGCATCTCACAAAAAAAATTATCCACTTCTCTGTGCCCACATCTTGGCAACTTCAAAGTCAAGGAACAAATAATTATGGCACTGCCAAGGCCACTGAGCCAGCAGGTCAGCACCATCTTCTGGCAGAGCTGAGGGTGCATTATCACAGTGTAGTGCAGAGGCTGACAGACAGCAGCGTAGCGGTCATAGGCCATCACAGCCAGGAGAAGACACTCCGTGGCTCCCAAATCCAGAGCAAAGAAGAACTGCAGCACACACCCTCCGTAGGTAATGGACTTGTTTGTACCCCACAGGTTTACCAGCATCTGGGGGACAATGCTGGTTGTATAACAGAGGTCCAGAAAAGACAGGTTGGACAAAAAGAAATACATGGGTGTGTGGAGCTGGGGATCTAGGTAAGACACAATTATGATGGTTGAGTTTCCTACCAGCGCCACCAGATAGAAGATGAAGACAAGCACAGAGATGATGGGCTCTAGTTGGGGCTGATCGGAAAACCCCAGAAGGATGAAGTCTGTTCCCAAACTTCCATTGCTTGTTTCCATTGCTCCTTATGGAAGGCTGGGAGACAGCACCATGCGAGCAACAGGGTCAGCCCTAGGTGGAGAGGACAGATTGTGACGTGCATATCTGTACATAAGACGCACTCTTTGTATGTGTTCTCCTGCAGCACATCCTCTGTGTCCCAGCGTCAGTGCCTCCAGCCTCTCTACACTTACTCATTTCCAGCGTGATATGCCAAGTCCATCTCACTGAGTGTCCATCATTCCAAAGGCTTAGTATCCCGTGTCTCCCATAGTTCCATGTGTGTGATTCATTAATACAGCCATGCAGTCTACTGCCTGAGCTTAAGACCTAGATCTATTTTCAGAAAAATTTCTCCCTTCAAACTAGGACACTATTTGTCACTTAAGAAAGTTTGCCTAACTCCTAAAAGCTACAAAGATACATATGCACACAAAACATGTACAACTAAATGCACCAGCTGTGGTGAGGAACCTAGGGGCAGGAGACAGTTTAAATTCCCAGATGCTTTGATTCCAAATATACCTGGGTGCTTTCCCAGTTTCAGGTTGGGATGGGATTGAGAATTTTAAAGCCATAATTTGAAAGTTGAAATGGACCTCAGAAGCCATGAGTCCTGCATTTCACCTCTCAGATTGTCTGCATGTTCACAGTGACAACCTCCAGCACTGGAACATTTCAAAACCCAAATGCACTTCTCTCCAAAATACTGTTTGTTTGAGCTCATTTGAAAAATCATACACGTCCTTTGTCTCTTAAAACATTAGAATCTGTTGTCCAATATGCTCCTTTTTTTGTATTGGGAATAGAAATCATGACCTGATACTTGCCAGGCAGCTGCTGCTCCAATGAGCTACTGGCTAATATACTTCTTTTTGTTGTTTTATTTGGTTTGGTTTGGTGTTCTGTAGCAGTGGAGATTGATCTCAGGACTTCACACAGGCTAGGGAAACACTGCAGCACTAAGCTATGCTTGCAGTGCTTTTGACGCTTCATTTTGAGACAGGGCCTTACTAAGTAGTCTAGGCATGTGCCACCATATGCGACTGAGTTTTCCGTCCCAGCCTGAGCAATTGCTTCACTTTTCCTAACACTGCCTGGTCTATATTCCCATGCCAAAGTACGTCATAGTTTGTCAATGCCTCAAATCACCACGTGAGTGCAGTACCTCAGGTGGGCTACATGGCTGAAGGAAACTGTGAATGTCTGTGGCCTGCATATGTTTACTAAAACACATCTTAATCAGGTTTAGCTGAACAAATTAAACTTTTCATCAATAAATCCCCCAGTATTGCTGTGAGGAAAAGGGTTTTATGTTGTGTCATTTAATGTTTTAAATCCAAATATAAAACTTTTCAATTTATGATTTTAGTATTACCTAAGGGCTGGGTCTCAAACTTTAGATATTATTTTAATTTGAATTTAAAAGTGACTGGAAATGTTAATGAAAAACGATTAGATCATCAAATATGCTACATGTACGTTGAATTATCATACCATTATCCATACATTTATACATTAAAATGACAGTTTCTTTTAAAAAGTAAACTCAGAATTAAATAAAAATTTAACAGTACAGTGAAGAAATTCATGGCAAGAGACATGCTACCTTCTTTTTTTTTTTTTTTTTTTTTGGTTTTCTCCGGTACCAGGAACCGAACTCACTACTTTGCGCTTGCCAGGCAGGCGCTTTTACCGCTAAGCTAAATCCCCAGCCCCAATGCTACCTTCTAATTGGAGCTTAGGGTTTCATTTCTATGCTATGGGCTTCAGTTCCCAATAATGTACCAATAGTGTGGCATTTTACTTTCTTCAGTGAAATTTAAGACAAGGAGACCAAAAACATTTACTCATAATATGGATATATGTAATGATGTGAAAATTAGAATCATGAAATCACAAAATGTGCTACATTTTGCTAAACATAAAAAATAAATGAACTGGATCTTTTATAAATTTGTAAGTAAGACATATGACTCGAGCCAAAGTTAAGGAAGAAAAAGGCCCACTCAAAGCAGTTCGGTACTGAGGCTGTAGATTGAGACCACTGTGATTGTTTTATGATCACCCTCAGCCACTTCTCACCTTGTAAGTCTGAGGAAGCCGAGCACATGCCACTGGCTGCTGCCTCCCCATCTGTGAGGCAGTTATCCAAGGAGTACCTGCTTTGTAGGATGGAAGCAAGCAGGATCACCTGATATGGTAAACATCAAATACTTAACATGATGCTTAATGCGTGGAGGACATTCAGAAATTTGAAAAGTCAGTAACAGCTCTTGCTGAATTTTAATCCTCTCCTGAGAGGGCACCAATACATTAGAATTATTTGTATCTCATATAGCACTCTCAGTTTTGTTTCCTGTCTAACTTAGGAATTTGCTATCTCTGATCCGATCCCACCCCCTATCTTCTGCAGTTGACAGCAGGAAATCTCACCAGAAGCCAGAAACATGAGCATGCAGCAGGCGTGTCTGCAGCCCCCACCTCCCACACAGTCCAGACGACCCTGTTCTGCCAGGAGCAGGGCTCTTCATCTCAGCGTCAGTCAGGAAGAGTTCCCATGGTGCAAGTTCCTGAAGCCTGAGAAACGAATCAACCAGCAGTGTCTTATCCTGTCCCACAGCCCTTTCCCACTGAAATGCAATGGGTGAACTAAGATGGGACAGAAGTCACTGCTCGGGTCACATGTTGGAGAAAAGTGAGTTGTGGAACTGGTGGAAAGGTGATGAAACAAGTTTTGCTAGGTGTATTTTTTGGCTTGATATTGGTAATCTTTAGTGCATCCTTTGTTACTCCTATTTATAGACACCTTTTTCCCTAATTAACGAGGAGGACACTGTGGTGGTTGAAGTGTATTCCCAGAGTCACTATCATGCAGCAGAGCAGTACTTAGCTGCAGCTCTCCAGGCTGCCCACATGCCTTGGGGACCTGGCCCACACCGGTGTGACTAAGCGAACCTATGGCTTGGGTCAGAGGGACGTCCAATACCAATTTTATGGAGGTCTTTCAGATGTTAGATTTTACTTTTCTCTAAGTCCTTTTAGATTTCTGTGATAGAAATTAATTTCAGAGATGATTTTGTATGAATGTAAGTCTATAAAAAGGAAGATATAAACCTTATGTATAAAGTTAATGTATTTGATGAAAAGTAGTTTATTGCATGGGTATTAAATGGAGATATTAAATTCATCAAAGATAGCACCTACATGTCAAAAATTATTATTTTTATCAAATTTGTAATTCTGGATTCATGACCATATGCTCATTGTTCCGCCTACAATGGATTAAAAACATGAAGACTAGTGAATGTAATAGCAGTTGGAGGATAGAAACACCAAAACTCAGATCTGTCCGTGTGCTTTCACCTTACTCCCGTCTTTCTGACTCTGCTGGGGATCATGGTCCTGAATTTGTGTTTCCCCTTTTTGCCTTTCTGTGTTAGTACTTGTTTGCAATAAATAGCGAAGATGCTCATTATGGGGTTCGAACACACATACTGCACTGCTTTGTGTGTCCCCTGCCTCCACTGCACCCCATCTCCCCCATCCCTACGTTCCCTCTCTGTCTCCACAGGTGTACATTTGTGTTTCCTACCTTCTCTCTTCTACTTAATCTTTAAATTACTTATACCTTGTGTTTCTCATATAGGAGAAGCCATGCAATATTTAACCTATGTCAGATTTATTTTACTTAGCTTGGTGGGCACAAGGTGCATCTATTTCTCTACAAAGGATTCAAATTTATTCCTCTTTATGCCACAGTAGTACACAATTGTGAACGTATTCCACATTTTCCTTATGTGTAGGTGGTTTTCAAGTGTAGCTATTGTGAGTTATGTTGCTATAAACATGGTTGTGCAATATCACTGTAAAAGTCTCAAAAACTGGAGAATGGAAGTGAATAAATACTTCTCAAATGAAGAAGTATAAATAGTTAGTAAGTACATGAAAAATGTTCAGCATCTTTGACCACTAGAGAAGTGTAAATCAAAGTCACACAGATTTCATCTTACACCATAAAGAATAACTGTGAACAAGAACTCAAAAAACAAATGCTGGTGAGATTGTTGGGGGAAAACACCTCCTGCACTGTTTTTGGGAAAGTAAACTAGTACAGCATTGTGGAAATCCATTAGCAGATTTCTCAAAAACTAGAAAGTGAAGTCACATTTGATCCAGCTCTTCTTCTTCTGGATGGCTTCCAAAAGGATTAATGACATAATGTTACATGATCTTGAGTTTTGTGTTAACCAATCATATGTCTTCTTTAGGTAATAATTTGTATATGAGCTCTTACACATGTGAGCACCTACATATCATATATTTTAAAATATAGCTTTTCTAACGGTTATAAAGTATATTTTAGGTACGGTTTTTTCACCTTATTTTTCTCCTAAAGTTTTACTATTTAGTGTGTGTATCTCTGGTTCACCAATATTTCACTGATGTGAAATAGTACACTGTATTTATATTACAAGTGTTTATTGGTTCACTGTTTTTTGTCTTTTTCACAAAAAAGGGTCTCAGTGTGCAGTTCAGGCTGGCCTTGAACTCACTTTGTAGCCCAGGCTGCCTCGAAATTGCAGCAATCCTCTTGCCTCAGCCTCCCAAGTGCTGGGATTACAGACATGCGCCACCACACCCAGCTTCAGTTCACTTGTTGATAGTCATATTTACTGACTGTAGTTTTTGGCTCTTGCAAAAGGCATTATAGTAAAAAGTTTCAAAGGTCTCTTAGAGACATAGGCATGAAATTCTTTTGAAAAAAATATATATTATAGTAAAAGACACATTGCCATTAATCCTGCTCAAAATTTTCTTCTTGCTTTGGGTAGGATTGTGCCATTCTTTTTCCACTTCCTGAAGCAGTCTGGAAGTCTTCTTTCATGAATGAAAAATTGTTATTGCCTCAATGTCCTGTATCAACTTGAAATGCTTACGTTTCATGACGATTTTGTCTTTGGAGAAGAGGCCGAAGTCACATAGAGCCAGATCTGCTGAGAAAGACAGATAAGGACAC